GATACTCTTAAGCATTTTTGCATGTGTCAAGCACCCAATGACCAACCACCCCATCCCCAACGCCTTTTAACTGCTTCACAACATGTTCAATATTGATACTTTCTCATCATACCTCAACATTTTATGCAGACACAGCAATCAAGTAGGAATTTACTGCTCTGTAGATGTACTGAAGATTAATAGCAGCATTACCTCATCAAGCAGCCGTCTTTCCTTAAAGCATTTCAACTTCGAAGCTCTTCTGAGAAGGCTAATGGTAATTAGATGAATAAATGTAACTGGGCAAACAAGTGTTAAAAGATTCTGACAGAAGCCCTACCAAGTGTTGGCTTTGCTTGTGATAATGAACACTGTGTTTCTTTTGAACCAGAAGATAATATATAATGTTTCTTGCATTTGAAATAGCACCTTATCTTGTCAAAGCGCTTCACAAAGTGTTTTCTGCAAAAATGAGCAGTGACGGTGTTGGTAGGTGAATGCAACAGACAATTTACGCACATCAATGCCTCACAAAGTGAATGACCACTTTGTTATCAATCTTTTCACAAGATCACGTCCTATAGACTTCCTGTGAAGCAATAATGCAGCTTCCTTTAGGAAATGAAAGAACGATCAGCCATGCTCAACTATATTCACTTTTTGGAGCAGGAGTTTGCTGGTAGACAAGGACATGTCTCCAGTAGTAAATTCAAGTTTTATAGCAACTGCAACACAAACAATTTAACTCTTTTCCCCTGTTTTTACATTGCTTGGCCAGTAGCAGTTTGTGACAATGAGGACCAAAGTTTAAAACTGTAAAGATAAACAGTTTGAGCCCAAATTTTCATTTTGCAATTGACCAGCGCCTTGGGACGTCCTCCCAACATTAAAGGCGCTATATAAATGTAATTTTGTTGGTGGTGTTGTTGTTGACCATCCATGCTACTTGTGCTGATCTTGAGTGATTTAATAATAATTATCCTTGCATTTAACAGAGCACCTTTCATGGCAGGAGGGCATCGCAAAGTGCTGCACAGAATTTACTATAAAGTAGAGTGACTGTGTAGTTTATAGGCAAACATTGCACACAACAACGACCCACAAACAGTCATGAAGATTTTAACTGGGAGAATATTTGTCCAGGAAACCAGCAGAAACTTCCTTCTCTTTCAAATAGAGGGATCTTTTAACGACCCCCAAAACAGGCAGACAGGTCCTCATTTTAACGTCTCATCCAAAGGATGTGTAGTAACAATAAGATGTTTTAAAGAATTAACAGATCAAAATAAATCAACCAGCTATTTCTCTCCACTGCATATCTTCCAATAGCTTCTCCTTTGTACAATCACCTGTAATATCCCTCAATGCTCCCCTCCATAGTCTCGCCCCAAAGTTACCTGGCCTGTCATCTTAACTCCAGCATCCATTTTTCTGACACTGGTTTAGTGCTCTTGCCCCACACCTCCTACTTGCTATCAGAGTGGAGCCTTCAATCAGCATGTCCTGTCTTGTGGTACTCTCTTCCAAAACAACTTTGCCTTGCTAATACCTCTTTCCCGGCTTTCAAAACCTTCCAACATATTTACTTATCCCTATACTTTACCTTCAATCATCTCTAAATTCCTCCATATCTTGCTTGGTCCCTACTGATCCTATTGTTTTGTCCTTTGAGATGATGTTATAATAATAAGTCTTTGCATTTGATAGAGCGCCTCTAATGATGCAATGTCTGGAAGCTCTTTGTACAATCTTAATAACTGTTAAGTGTTTGTGTAGGCTGTGTATTTGCAGGTGAACATGGCAGTCAATTTGCAACGAGCAGTGTCCCACAAACATATATGCATTACGTAAATGGAGTCATAAAATGCAAATTGTTGTTCTGTCAGATTGTAAGTAAGCAAATTCTAATAATAAAATGGATTTGTGTTATATTGCTGTCTCTACATTCAATATTGACGGGCAATACAATTAATTATGAGGCACCAGGACACATCTAAAGAAGTATTTTTAACAGCAACTCTGGTGGTAGCAGCAGTGGTAACCTTATTATAAACTACAGTCTCCTGAGCCATAGGTCACCATTTATTTTCTGTCCATCAATGAGTTTAGTGCTCAACACCCCAGACAAAAATGAGTGTTTTATTGTCTGACATGTGTGGACTTTTATCAGATATCAGTGATGCTCTGGTAGGCTAAAAGATAAAGCTCAAAATGTGACATTAAAGGCTTTGCAGCTGTCTCAAGGCTCTCCTGTTTGTAATGTAAACAGGGCAGTGTCCACAGCACAGGGAGCTCAAGAAACTACAGAAACCCTTGCCATTTGAAATGGCTCTCTAATATAGATGTGGTATTTGACTGAGATATGGATTAACCTTACTTTCAGCACCATAGCTCCTACAGGACAGAAGCTGCACACCAGTATGTACATTCCAAGCATAAAAGAAACAAAAATCTTGCCATGTTATATGATCTTTTCATATCAAAACATCTCGAACGACTTCATAAATAAGTATTGTAAAGTACAGTCACTGTTTATTTAGATAAATGCTGGAGTCGGTTTATGCCAGCGAAATCCAACAAACAGCCATGAGGCAAATGAATAATTATTATAGAGATTATTGGCTGAGGCACCGAGAAAAACTCATTTATTTTGGAATAGAGTAATGTCATTTTTAATTTCTGAAATAGGTAGACGGGACATTAATTTAAAGTCTCACCCAAAACATAGAACTTCTGACAATGAAGTCCTCTTTCAGTGTAAAAATTTAACACCCAGCATAAAGCTTGGACACATGATCCAAAGGCGAGTGCAACCTGCTGTGCTAAATTGTCACCCAACGATAATGCATTGAAAAATAAGTCGTTTACGAAGATGATGATGCTGTAGATGGTTGTTCCCACATGGCTGTATTGAGGTCTGTCACATTGTGACTCGTTCTACACTACTACGATTTGAATCTTGATGTGGGCCAGAACTGTGCACGGAGTGAAAGTGGCAACATTTTTTGGGTACAAATCCATTTATAAAAGCAACTAAATGAGAAAGAGAGCCTTTCTGTTAGTGTTCCCCATTGAACAGGCCACAAGCACATATTTTTTCTGAGCAAACCTGAGGGCAAAAATCTATTTTAGTTTAATGAATTGTAATTCTCAGAGTATAAATGATTATAAAATGATTATACCAGGTAATATTTCAAGATTTATAACAAGCAAATGCAGATGTTGTGATTGTAGCACTTATGTAAGTAATATTTCAGATTAAATCACATGTGGATAAAATGCTCAGGATTTTCTAAAAGCATCCCTGTGTGGGCACTATAGCAACAGAAGCAAAACACAAATATAGGTTTCCTGCAGCTGCCAAAACCATTCATATTGGCTAACACTTCTAGTGGAGGTTCTTAGCACTTGCTCCCAGAAACAGTGGGCAAGTTCAAATACTAAAGTAAAATCATCGGTTTTAGTTCAGAATAGTTTTAACAAACTAAATCTTCTCACTGCATATCTTCCAATATCTTCTCACAAGATAGATTTACACTTTTGTTTGTGTACTTTTGTAACTTTTCACCTACTTGGTTCAAAAACTTGATTTCAAAGTAACATTCAACTAAATAAGAGATTGTTTCTGAGAAGCTTCTTTCATACTTCAGCTTAAACCTTCTGCCATACTTCAATTTAAACCGTCTGCACATTCTGTTGCTTTTCTTCATAAAATATATTTCTGGCTTAAAATATCTTTACTATTGGTATAGCACAATCACTGCTCAAAAGGGCTTCATGACAGCACAAGGCACGGACGGAGCTGAATTGCGAATTACCAAGAAGTGGTAAGTATCGGGGTGCACTCAACCATCTCCAACAGGGCAAATTCCTGATCTCAAGCACGCATCCACGTGGAGATACTGAACACAAGCCAATCACTTCCCCACAAGGAGAGAGGGCAATTCTGAGCACCAGTTCCCACGCTCTTTCTTTAGAGTATGATCCGGGTTCCTCTCAACCAAAATTTGCTTGGCACCAAATAATTCCGCGATAGGAGAGGGGCAAAATATCAATAAGGTAATCATGAAAATGGAAATCTAATGAATTTAGTCATTTTGGCTGAACTTGTAAAACACATATTTTAGAAACTGGACTTCAATCTATAATGAACCTTAACAAATACAAATCATTTGCATTATTTGAATCAAACAGGATTTCTCATTCCATTTGTGACCGTGGCTTGCAATGAGCTACCACATTCATTTTCATTCAATAGCTCTGTTCACATGATGAATCAAAGAGAAGCACGTTAACATAGACCAGAGTTGGAATTAGTAGTCAGCTATTAAATTATTTGATTAGCCTCGTGAATTATTACAATTTTCTTTCAAGACTAAACTGTAAGCAGTTTAATAGAGTCCACTTTCTAGGGCAGAAAACACATCATGTGTATCTGTTTAAACAAATAAAGGATTTTCAGTTGCTGAAAGATCAGTTCCAGAATTTGTAATTCTAAACGAAAGTATCGAATGTACTGTGCTTGCAGTGTAAAAGGTCCTGGAGGAGAAACACATGAATGAAGGGGGAGGGGAGCAATCATTGCCCTTCAATAGGATTTTCATTAACTCTTGAAAAGGAAAAGGATCTGAAGCCTTTGTTAATAAACAATTAATGCAAAATCCGCAAACTCCACACAGCATGGACAAGCTGCTCTCGAATAACAAGATTCTAAAACCTCATTACTTGTTAAACCTCTGCAGATAATGCAACCTAGTTACTCTTGTTTTTAGCATTTCTGCTATCGCATAATTGTAATTATTTTTGGAGATTACAATTTGATGCTTGCTTGCACTCAAAATGGTGGTTATATGCTTTTGTTATGTTAATGTGCATCATTTATGTATCAGTCATGTATGGATTTATACCTTCCTCTCCCTCGCGCTCCCACCTCCCCCCCCCTCCTCACTGGATAACAAAAGCACTGTCTGTGACAAGCCACCCACCACTCCCACCCAAAAGCAGCAAAATATGCCACAAACCTGCAGTCAGGTATCCCCGTGATGCAGCAGAAATAAAAGCCGGTGGAAATTGCTTGTGTAAGCGGTAGTCCTTCTCACTGCGGGAGCGGATACGGTCTGAGGCCCGGTCTGAAAAATCCGAGCTAGGCCAAGCCCGGCGCAAGGTTGTACTCCGTGTTTTCTTCATTTGGAGGCTACATGCAGTCTAATCCTCTAGCAACATGAGTCGGGCTTCATATCTCTTGCTGTGCCCTATTAGACTAGAAATAAGCCAACGTGCTGAAAGAATTAGCAAACATTCTGGCACTGCCTTCTCCACATAGTGAACTGCAGGGCTTCTCCTATTCCTTGACTGATCCAATTTTACACACAACCCACAATGCATTACACTTCATTTAAAATCACCACTGCTTATGGTTTCCAGCTTCACATAAGAAAAAAAAGGCACATAATGTGGCTTCTCAGCCAAAGAACAGGCAGCGATTTGCAGCTTGAAAGCCCTCGGATCCCAGACAATAGCTCAATTCAGCACAGGAGTGCTTGGCCAACTGTGAGCCAGAACACAAAAGGTCCAAACAAATTAGAAACCCAGCCTTGGGTTTTGACCCAAACGGTGCACCCAGGAACTGAAGGATTCCAAACAAACAGCAATCCCCACTGTCACAGGATAGGAATAATGCTCGGATGACAGTGAAAGTGGTTGTCTCCAGACAGCAAAATCTAATCAAAGAATCAATGATGAAGGATGAGCAGAATAAATAAATCAGAAGCCAATCTTCAGTTAAAGAGCGCTTGCAGCTGCTTCGTGCACAGATTGAGTGTCTGTGCAGCTGAAGAACACAGCTCCTGCATGCGTCTGTGAAGCAGCTTGCTCCTGCGAGATATACAACTAATAAAGGCACAGCGTCATAGCTGGATTTCCTTTCATTCAGCTCGCAGATTTCTCAGTCATGGCTCCCACTTCTCCTGGGCTGAGAGAGGCTGGACTGCAAGTGGTTCCAAATGTTTGGTTTTCAATTGAGTTCGGCGTGCAGTCTGCTCGGTTGCTGTGACTCCTTGCTGATGAATGGTTCCCTGCTTTTGAATACAGTGCTGAGCTATTGAAGGGCAGGAAGCGAGTCAGCCACCCAGTCCCATGCTAATCAAGGAGCTGTCTTATGTCAGACGCACTGATTCCGTCAAGCTCCGAAGTTTAATGTACAACCCTCAGGCCCACTCCGAACCTGGCCACGATCCAACAGCTATAATCAGAACTAGAGTATTTACATACAAAACTGGCTATTTTAGGGTGGCCCAGCATGTATAGTAAACGGAACTATAATTTGCTTTTCAATCCTAAAGCACCTAACGTAGTCTGCTTTTCTAATCAACTTTTTTTTAAAGTCTGCTCACGATGTGGAAGGCAGGGGTCAGTTAGTGCAACAGCTGTAATAGACTCCTGACACTGCAAAGTAATTAAATTCATCTGTAATAGCAGCAAAAAATAGAAGCAATAATGTAGCGCTGGCTGCTAACAAACAGCAAAACCACTGCAAACTCTGCAAGCTCTCAGTTTCAGTTCAGCTGTTTTTTGGTATAGGGCTATAAAAAAAATGTAACACAAGGGGGAAAGCTGGATGCAATTCTATCCCCTTGCTGTGCTGTACAACTCTAAGCTAGCATGTCTCTTGTAAAACATCAATCAATCATAGAGAGCCATTCTGATACAGCTTGAAAAATAGCTTTAGAGAGTTCGGCTATAATTATGCAATTTACTACATATTTATTAAGACACAGACACTGAAGAAAAAACAATGTAGAGAAGCCAGTTGCTGCACACTGCATTGGACTGCAATAAGCTTAGCAGATCTCAATTTAAGCTCTCCGAGACTTCATCCGGCATGAAGTACGCTATATAAATGCAAGTTGTTGTAGTTACTGAAACATTTCTAAAAGGGCAGTGAAATAAGGGGGAGACTATCTTTCAGTGATTGGTGCTTCATCATGTCTTAGTTGGTCCATGTACTGTCTAATGTTGAAATGAGACATTTGGACTGGATTTGTGCCAACAATTATTAATTTCCTTAACCTTAAGGCATGTGGTCTTAAAAATTTAAATTTAAAGTCGTGCAGCATTTTGGAAAACAATACAAAATGAATCTTACTATTTTCTGAAGTTCTGAAAAAAACTTTGAAATAAAAATGAATTGAATAATTTTCCAAAATTCTGTCATAATAATAATTTTTGCATTTGATATAGTGCCTTTTCACGTCTTCGAGACGTCTCAAAGAGCTTCACAGAATAGACTGTAAAGTGAATTGACTGTATATTTTGTGGGTGAAACGTGGCAGCCAATTATGCACAGCAGTGTCCCACAAACAGTTGTGGATTGAAGTGACCAATTCTTTTTAAAAACGGAATTATTACCCCTAGAAAAGCGATCCGCCAATCAAATAACAACCAGGTTCCTACTTACTGCTAGGTAAACAGAAGTGTGTGGAGTAAGGAAACTTGCCCAACGTTTCGAACTGCTGGGAATCGAACCCAGGTTCCTCGCTTGCAAGGCGAGCGCTCTAACCACTGAGCTACATGACTCCACCTTAAAACAACCACAACAACAACTTGCACTTATACAGCGTCCTCCATGCAGGTTAGCTTCCCAGAGTGCTTAACAGTGGCGGAGCCTGACTCCGAGCCGGGGGAAGGAAGGTGACTGTATGCACGGTCGAAAGGAAGGTTTCTAGGCGGGACTTGAAAAAGGGGAGAGAGGGGGCAAGGCGAAGGGATTGAGGGAGAGTGTTCCACAGTTTCGGGACGTAGTGGCTGAAAGCAGAGTGCGCGGGCAAGCAGGAAGCCGGTGCCAGTCGAGCGGAGGCAACTGGTGGTAGGTCGGAGAGGTAGGGAGGTGCCAAGGGTTTGAACACAAGTGTGAGGATCTTGAAGTCGATCCGTTTGGTGATGGGGAGCCAGTGGAGCCTGGCCAGAACTGGTGAAATGTGGGTAATGAGTTTGGTCCGGGTAAGTATACAGTCAGCAATGTTCGGAATAAGCTGGATTTTTTGAAAGTGGAGCTGGGGAACCAGCAAGGAATACGTTTGAATAATACAGGTGGGAGTTGACAAACGCATGCACGAGGGTTTCGGCTACATTTGGGATTAGATATGAATGGAGACAGGTGGGGGAAGGCGGAGGGAGCGAGTAGGATGGTTGGGGCTTAGGAGGTCACAGAGGTAGGGGGGAGCAAGACCATGGAGAGCTTTGAAGGTGAGGACCAGGATCTTGAACTGAATCCTCTGTGTGATGGGAAGTCAGTGGAGTCGGGTGAGGCTGGGGGTGATAGGGTCACGGAGCCTGGTGCGGGAGAGGACATGGGCTGCAGAGTTCTGGATGATCTGCAGCCTATGGAGAGAGGATATGGGGAGGCCGACAAGCAATGAGTTTGTATAGTCAAGCCTCGATGCAATGAAAGCATGTATGAGGATTTTGGCGGCCTGCGGTGTGAGACAGTGGTGGAACTGGGCGACATTTGGAGGCGGGGGAAGGCAGAGCGGGTCATGGCACAGATGTGGGGTAGAAAGGATATTTGAGGGTCAAACAAGACACCAAGGTTCTGGACTGGCTTAGCAAGATGCACCTGGTGCAATAGATTAGGGGGTCCCCTTTCCCGATTCCAAAATCTAAAATGACCTTTACCCTTCCCCCGTGTACAAGAGAGTATAGGGGGGAAACGAACATGGGAGTAGGGAGTGAATAGAGCATGGGAGGAGGGAACAGAGTGGGGACAGCAATAGGAATGCCCCAGAAAGACAGCATGGGAGGGGCAGAGTGTGTGTGGGAGGGGTAGAGTGAGCGTGGGAGGGGGAGAGTGAGCATAGGAACACAGGAACAGGAGAAGGCCATTCAGCCCCTCAAGCCTGTTCTGCATTCTATTAGATCACAGCTTATATGTACATCAACTCGAATTACCCATCTTGATGCCCTGAACTAACAAATATCTATCCACCTCAATTTTGAAAATTTGAATGGATCCAGCATCCACAGCCTTTTGGGAGAGAGAGAGAGCGTGGGAGGGGGGGGGAGAGAGTGTGGAAGGTGGGAGAGAGCGTGGGAGGGGGAAGGGAGTGTGGGAGGGGGGAGAGGGCGTGGGAGGGGGGGAGAGCATGGGAGGGATTGAGAGCGTAGGAGGGGAGAAAGTTTTGTCAGAGAGAGAATGAACATAAGGACAGGGAGATGGTAAAGGTTATTTTAGATTTCGCAATTGGGAAAGGGGACCCTCTAATCTATTGCATCAGGGCTACCAGGGCCTTGTTATGCTACTGCCACAACAACAAATTGCCTTTGTTTAACGCCTTTCATGTTGGGAGGACATGCCAAGGCTCTGGACAATCAGGGATTTGGACCCAAGCTGGGGGTTGGGATCAGAGGTCGGGAAGGGTAGGGAAAGGAGGATGCCCCAAGGTGGAGTCAAACACAGATCAGGGCACGAGAAGCAAATGGCATTCAAATGCCAACTCAGAGGAGCAGCTCTAGCTGGACCTAAGAGAATGGTGCAACTCTTCAGCTTGGAATGTTTGGAAGGAGCTGTGGAAAATAAAGTGTGCGCTCCAAATGCTGTTTCTGGAACAATATTGAAAAAATGAATTACATTGGAATCCATTGATAGAAGATGTCTCAAAGTGCTTCCAGAATATACTGTAAAGTGAATTGACTGTATATATTTTATGGGCGAAACAAGCAACAACAATTGACTCCTGGGGGGTGGGGGCGGGGTGGGGGGAAGGTTGATGGGGGAGGTGGCTGGAAGCACGGTCGAACAGGAAAGTCTGTTGATATAAATGAGTTCAAAATAAGTGGGTAGAACTGTTTATCAAATGAAAGTAATATCATTATTAAGATGATTATTACTATCCACCTTTAGGCAATTAGATACAACCTAGGTTTAATGTCTTATCTGAAGGGCAGAATGTTTTTGCCAAAACATTCCTCAAGTTCTGGAGTCCTGTAGCTCAGTGGTTAGAGCACTCGCTTTGCAAGCGAGAGACCTGAGTTCAATTCCAGGCACAGGGCGAAACCTTGGGCAAGTTTCCTTACTCCACACGCCTAATAATAATCCCTCCAAAAAACCCCAAACAATAATAAATTGGTCATTTTCAATCTACGACTGTTTGTGGGACATTACTGTGCGCAATTGGCTGCCGCGTTCGCCCACAAATATACAGTCAATTCACTTTACAGTATATTCTGTGAAGCGCTTTGGGACGTCCTCCCGATGTGAAAAGCGCTATATCAAATGCAAGGATTATTATTATTATTATTATATTCTTCACTGGACTATCATATGAGGC